GTGAGCCCACACCTGCGGAGCAGCTCCAAAGACCCTCAGCAGACAAAACGCGGGCTGTGCTAAGCGCTGTGTCTGGGCGGTTTGTTACACAGCAAAAGCCAACCAAGACACTACACAGCAGTCTTCAAGGTCCCTCTGAAACGGCAGTCGTCACCCCTCAAGCAGGAAGGGCCTTGTGCTGGCTTATAGGATGCAACTATTGTCCTTTTTGCATAAAATGAATGCCTAAATCAGTGGTCCTGACCTAAAGATGTACCACATTCAGATTTCAGATACCTTAAAACATAAAAATCATGTATGGCATCGTTAAACTTAAAAATAACATGAGTGTGGCACAAGACCTGCAGGACTGGGAGCCCTGAGCGTGACCACTGGTGTTTGCCCACAGGGATCTGCATCAGGAACACGGGGACCTAGCCGACGGGAAAGGGAGGAAGAGCCAAGAGCTGAACCATAGGGTACGGAGTCACTCTGTGGTATGCGCCACGGACACAAGCATGGAGAGCCCACAGAGTTCTTTCTTCAGACAGCGGCCCGAGTACTTGGAGGGCCCCAAAGTGGCAGTGTCTGCAGGCACCTGACGGATGCAGGGGAGCAGAGCCACGTCAGTCCTACAAGGGGGACATCACCACATGGGATCTCTCCTGGAAGGGCACAGCTGGCCATGTGGGGATGGGGCACAGAACAGACCTCAGGCCTGGGATACCAGCGGGAGGCAGGGGCGGGCAGGCTCAATTAGGTAATGCTACGCTATTTTTTGACTTACGACATTAAAAACATGTATTTCTTTGATAACATTTTTAAAAAATTAAAAATAACATAACTAACTCCCAAAACGGCAAATCTGGATAATGGTCTTTTCATCATGTATGCAATTCCAGTTGATGAAATAGTTAACAATTTTCTGGGCACAAACACTCACCACCCCCAAACTCACACTCTCCTCTGCCTCAGTGATGCCACGCCCTTGGGACCCCGTGGCGCAGAGAACTGACTGTCCAGGACAGAAGTGGACACGGTGCCCGAATCAGCCACGACCAGCAAAGAAACTGCATCACAGACAAGTGTGACCTTGAGCATTGAAGCTTACAAAAGATCTTATTTACCCGAAGTTAGCAATTTAAGTTATAGTTTAAAAACTATTCCCTTTTTAATCATAAAATCCTGTGCAAATTCACTGATGATTTAATGACAGGAATCAGATTGTATGTTCAAGAAATCTGACAAACACCACTGCCAAATGTCACCCACAATATGGAGGCTTACGAAGAGAGCTTCAATCGTCCGAACGGAAGCCAACTGATGTAGTGACACAATCACAGAGAGGTTAGACAGCTTTTACGATCTCCATTTTATGTGAAAAAATAAAACAAATGTGAACGCCTGGGTGGCTCAGGCGGTTAAGCTTCTGCCTTTGGCTCCGGTCCCAATCCCGGGGTCCTGGGATTGAGCCTTGTTTCGTGCCTCTTGCCCAGTGGGGATTCTGCATCTCCCTCTGCCCCCACCCCCACTTGATCTCTCCCCTCCTCACAAAAATAAATAAATAAAATCTTAAAAAAAATTTAAAAAATGATTAAAATGCAGAGAACACGTAAACTTGAGATTCTCCCTGTGTTTTTGAAAACCAGGCTTAGAGCCACATCTGTGGAAGGGGGCAAATCTGGGGGGCCACATTTGTGAGAGCCACATCTGTGGGGGCAAATCTGTGTGGGGGCTGCATCTATGGGGCACCCACATTTGTGAGAGCCACATGTAGGGGGGCTCTAACACCTCTTAGAGCATCCAGGCCTGTGGGTGAGGGGAGCTCTTGGGGGGACCCCTGGCATGAGGAGCACCCCGACAGCCAGGTGCTCCCTGCATGGCTGTGTGGCACCTGCTCTGGAGCTTGCACGTGCTGAGGTGAGGACTCAGGAAGGAGACCCTTCCATCTCCAGAGCAGTGACATGAAGTCCGGAAGCCCCAGGGGGGACACAGGGTGTCAGGGAGGCCAGCCCCACTCCAGGCAGAGGGCCCAGGCAGGGGGGCAGCCTGGCCTTGCCCTGAGGTGGTGGCACTGACCCCTCCCAAGGGTCTTCCTGGTTCTTGCTTCCTTGTCGACCCGATGACCCCTCTCATATGTGGGTGGGCCTTGTCTCAATTTCTCACTTTCTAGTCAAAGCTGCAAATTCAGCTGGCACATACATCTTTCTCAAATCCCAGTCAGCACAGAAGGCCGCTGCCACCAGCTGGGGTACGGTCTCCCAGCCGCACGCTGTGTGCAGGGCAGAACGCAGCCCCCGAGCTCTCCCCCCAGCCAGGCGGGGACTGGACCCGCAGGGCAGCCAGGGCCAGACGCGAGGCCGTGCGTGGGAGGGGCCGCACAGTGCGGAGGTGGGGGGCACGCCAGGATAAAGGACCTCCGGGGGCACACGGGGCCGTGGCCGTGAGAGGGGTGGCCCAGGCTGGGCAGGTGGGCAGCATGTGCTAGCTACAGGAGAGCCAGGAGTCTGCTTTTAGGGCTCGCAGACAGGGATGGAGGCCACTGCATGGGCTACAGGTGGCCACCGGGAAGAACTCCAACAACCGTGACTTCCAGCTGGCAAGCGACCATCTCCCAAGGCCAGGCTCACAGAGACCCCTCTCCTGGCCCCAGACACCAGAGGCACATGGCCGCGTCCAGCCAAGCGCACCCAGGATGGGGCCTGCAGCAGGACGCAGCCTGGCCACCAGACAGGCCAGCTGCCAGCCGCAGGCCCGCGTGTTGGGTAGAGGAAGGGCCCGGTACCTGCTCCTCTGGACCCCTCCACTGCTCCAGCCCAGACCCAAGTGCACTTTTTAAAAAGCAAAGCCTCATGATGGCCGGTGGTGGGCCGGCATGCACGGAGGCCAGTGCCGCCTCTTGTGACACAGGACCCCCGGGCTGCTCGGAATTCTACCGTCAAAACCACACAGCCTGGGCTTCCAGCAGCTCAGGGACCCACCCCGGCCTAGGCTTGTTCTGCGCTGACCCAAGGAGGCCAGCCTAGTCAGGGGGAAAGCAGCAGATGCAGCAACCGCAAACCCACACCCCAAACACCAAAGCAGCGGTCAGAACTCCCAAGACCTGGGGCCTGCTGTGCAGGCGGCCCGCACACGCGGCTCCCATAAGGCCCGAGGACAGAGCTTTGGAGATGTGCCTTTGAAAGTGCTCACACATGGCTGGGTGCTTGAGGAGGGGGGGCCAGCTCAGGGGCACCCCGGGCCTGTGACACAGTCCACTGAGCCAGGTGACACTGCTGGGCGGCCTCACCCAGCGAGTCCGCCAGCAAGCCCACACACCGAACCGACACCACTGGCCCTGGCACCCTGACCTTTCCCTCACCTTCTCAACAGTGATTATTAAACAAATACTTTGCGCAGTACTGGGCGTATACAAGGAGAGGAGGCTGAGACCCTGGGATGGAAGGAATCACTGGGTGGAAGCAGAAACAGACAGATGCACCGTGCAGATTCTGCATGGCACCGGCTAAAGCCCAAAAAAGCCAAGGCTCAGCTGAGCAATGTCTGCCCATGGGCCGTACAGATCTCCATTGGAAGGGCATCTTGGAAGCATCCAGTAGCACCGCGTGTGGGCTCTTAATCCTCCACAGGCGTGCTTTACCACAGAAGCCACCGAGTGCATGTGGCCACAGAGGGCGTGAAACTCAGCCGGGCCAGCTGGAGACGTGCTCTACGTAGATGGTCCACGACGGTTTCCAAAGACTCAGTGCGAACAACATTTTCAATATTGATTACACATTGAAATATCTCAGAAATATGAGGTTAAATAAGATATATTGAGATTAGTTTTACCTTTTGGTAGCCAGGCTCCCAGTGGTCCGCACTGATCCCTGCCTCCTGGTATTCCCCCTCGTGTAGGCCCCTCCCAGGATGAGCCACGGTTGGTCTGCGCGACCAGTAGAATAAGGGAGGGCAGTGAGTAGGTCACTTCCAAGACCAGGCCACAGGAGACCTTGGGGCTTCCACGTCGGACACTTGGGCTGTTCACTGTGGGGGGCTTTGTTGGGGACGAGGCCTGAGCCTCCTGCCCATGACCACGTGAGTGAGCCTGCAAATGGGCCCCACAGGCCTGACCGTGGCCTCACGAGGGACCCCAAGTCACGGCCACCAGCTAGGAAGACCCTTGTTCAGACCACAGAAACTATGAGATAATGCATGTGTTTGTTTTGTTTTAAATGGTTAAGTTTGGGGTATTTTGTCACACAGCAACAGATTACTTATACAACCTGGGGTTTTCGGCTCTGTTTTAGGGTGGCTACTGGAGAGTGTAAGATTACCTTTGGACTTTTAATCTGCCCGCCTGTATCTATGGGATGGTGTTGCTCTACATGGTTCTAAACACAGTGGAGCGTATCACCCTCACAGGTCATCTGTCAACAACATAATACAACTTTGCTACACGTCACCAACACATGGTTCTTTCCAACACATTTAATTTTAACCCTGGGATCAGACTGCATATTTACAGAGACTACATATCAAAAAAAAGATCTGCTTGTTTCTTAATAAATTTAAATGCAAAGAAAATATTAGTATCTTTTTCCAATTATAAAGGATCAATGAGAGAAACTAAGAAAAGACAAGTTCCAAGAAGAAAATAAAAATGCTTTGTAAATACACCACTCAGAGGTGATCACTGCTAATATTCTACTATTCCTTCTTGCTGGTAATTTGTCTATTTGGGGACATAGCTTGTATTTTTGGATGAAAGTGATGACAAGCACGTCCCCTCTCTTAAGTCCGCTCCTGCGCCAGTGACTCTCCCACGACGCGCCAGCCATGCCACAATTTACCCGACCAGCGTGCTGCTGCTGGACTCGCGGGCGCCTGGCAGTTTGGTCTTGGCACAGCGAGGAGCATCCTGGGTGTCCCTGTGTGTCACCGTGTGGGAGCACGCCTCGGCAGCGGCTTTCCCACGCCACAAGGAGCTTGGCATTTGGAAGGCTCCTGCAGGTGCGCAGGTGCCCTGCCAACCGACTTACTTTTATGTGCTCGTGTAGCTGGGCCTCGTGTTGCCGGGAGAGCTGCTCGTGCTGCCTCTGGAACTCGGCGATGAGGATCTGCCTCTGGAGCTGCTGCTTCTGCTTGAGGGCCAGCAGCTCTTGCTGCAGCTGCTGCTCCCGGAGGGTGGGCTCTGCCACGGGCAGCGCAAACTGGTGGTCCAGGCGGAGGTCCATGGGCACCGCCGGGGGGGCGACCTGCAGAGGCAGTGCGGAGGCCACATCCACTGTGGGAGAGAGCACAGCACAGAAGCGCCGGTCACTGCAGTGGCACGGCGTCCCCAGGCCCCTGCCCCCGCCCTCCCCCACGCCACCGGCCTCCGTCCAGGGTGCCGTGCGCTCGAGCATGGGGGACACGCGGGACGCCTCTTCCCCCAGTCTTGCTTGACGGGCTCAAAACGCAGGACCCGGGGGGCCTTGGAGGCCTTCCATTCCTCAAGTGCAGAGATCGCAAAACCGAGGGGCAGGTCAGGCCAGGGTACATGCTCACACAGACACACGGCCCACCCCACCCTCCGCCACGAGAGGCCCCTACGCAGACCCCACGGCTGTCCTGACGTCATTTCTGAAAGTCAACAGAGAGAGAACGAAAGAAAATGGTTCTAAGGAGAGCTGAACGCCAGTGAGGGGAGGGGCAGCCTGGCCTTCCTTTTCTCCATCTTTCTCATGAAGCTACTGAGGACTGTGTGCAGGAACCACAGGACAGTGTGCGGCCCCTCAAGTGGTCCAGATAGAGGCTTGGCGGCCAGCACGTTTCCATGGAGAACGTGTTTACCGACCGCAGCCGATAACCGCTTCCCCGGCTCGCCTGCACAAGCACGCTCATCAGGCTATGGGCTTCTCTACAAGGACCAGAGAAATGGATTTTCTTCCCGGGACTACTGCACTGCTGAAAAAAAGCTCAAATGATTTTGATTAGAAACAGAAGCTAAATCAATCTTAATGCTTACAAATCAATACCCAATTACAGCGAGGAAAAGCACGCAGAAAGTTTGAAATTACGGCCATCACGGAAGAGGCTGCGGAGGAAGCTCCTTCCACACAGCTTCACGTCTGAGTGCACAGGCACGCAGGAAGGCCCTGCCCAGAGACGCCGCGACGGTGCTCCTCAGACTCGCTGACGAACAGCCCCTCGGGCTCTGCTCACAAAATCCCCTAAGGAGCTGCAGTGGCAGCCCAGCCACCTGAGCTCCGCAGCACCCGGCCGCACACAGGCCCACAAGCTCCCGTCCCTTCCAGAAAGCTCCCCTACAACCTGCTCTGGGCCCGGTTCCTCAAGTGGCACACAGCAGACTTGGGGGTCCGGGGCAGGAGACTGAGACCTCACCCTCCACAGAGCCCAGCACTCAGGTGGGAGAGCAAACGCAACAGACACGGGCCACCAAGGACCAGTTCCGTGCCATCAGGGCCCCTCCGCCGGCACCCTCTGAAGGTCGGGCCACATTATGCAGCTGACCTTGTTCCAGCGTCTCCCAAACAGATGTCCCGGCCACAGGGCCCTCCAGTTCCAGCCATCACCTGCTTCCTTGGGAAGTCCGTCCTCCACAGCCTTACAGGCCAGACTTTCTGGTAAAATGGCCCATACGTGGAACCGCCCCTCAGGACACAGCATTTCTGTGGTCACGGCCCAGGTAGCAGGTGCCACGCCGGCCGTTCTGATGAGGCAGGGCTGGGAAGCCCTGGGCCCTAAGTCACCTGGCCTCTCTGAGCCCCAGTGTCCTGGATGGGGGTGGGCCCTCCGGCTCCTTGACAAAATCGCTGTCTCTCCCACCCCCAGGCCCCAAAGCCAATCTGGCTACTGCCCTGGCCCGGAGCTCCCCGAGGCTGGCAGGGCCAGGCTGACAGAGGCCCCAGGGCCTGGGCCCGTTTCCCTCAGGAGGGGGCGGGGGTGGCTCACCCTGGACCACGGGGCACAGAGGGAAGAGACAGAGCAGCCCAGAGGGTGGTCAGGAAATACTCGGATCCGAGCACCCTAAGAAAGTATCTGATTCTCCTGTTCCCTGAGCCCTAAGACGGCCGGGTAATACCAGTGGGCTGCTTGTCTTCCGTTTCTTCTCCCAATTAGTGAAACGCAACCCTCAGCTGTTTACATGGATTTCTAACAGAGTCTCAGGCTTGAGAGATCAAGAGGGTTTTAGCTGCTATTTATGCGAGATAAATCTACACAAACTCTTTTCAGGAACAGGACCGGGTGCAGGGGCATCCCACCCACCCCACCACACGTGAGCCGGTAAAGACTGGATTTTGTCAATTTCCCGTATTTTCTTGATCATTTTTAGTATGAAATACAGAAAAACAGGAAAACTATATAAATAGCTCCAGTTTTATAAAACCTCCATATTTCCCCCCCCTTGCTTCAGACTTTCTTTTAAGGAATAAACAGGAGGGCAGGGAGGGCAGCTCAGTGAGCAAACACAGAGGAAAGGAAGCAGGACTCGGCTTCTTACAGGAATTTGGCCCATGCTCTTCTTTCCCAAAGGGGCGTATTATTCCTCGTCCACATGTGTGACGGGGCTGGATGCCTCCTAAAACATCGTGACTGGGGCCGGCTAGTGGGCTTCGCCCTTGCGCATCCACGGTGGTCAGGAGGCGGTTCCCAGGGACCTGCTGTATGCCTGCCCACCTCGCAGACACAGGGGAGCCAGAGGGCATGCCGCCCCACCCCCCCGCCTAGTCAGCCTCTGCTTTCTGAGGACAAGCCTGACTCGGTGTTTCTAGGTTACACACACCACAGGGGCGCTGAGCCACACAGCCTGCGACCGCTGGAGGGAGAACACGCAACTCCACCTGTACAGGTAAACGCAGCCCCTAATCTCTCTCACTCTGCTTGCCTGGTTGGCCTGCCACGTTTCAGCTTAAGGAAGGAACCACAGAGAGTTCACGAAATAAGCCCGCTGCCCTGCACCTGGTAAGCTGCAATGCTTCATCAGCCCCCGTGGCGGGGCAGGTCAGGAGTGACCCCTGCTGCAACATGGCCCGAGGTGACAGAAGATCCTCCCTGTAACAAGGCCGTCCCTGACACACTGGGCAGAAGCCCCATCTGCTGCTCACTCTGGTTTCTCCTCTCCTCGTTCTAATTGTTCATAGACAGGGTCTGGGGACCATCTGATGCTGAACATAAAACACCTTTTAAGGGAGCCTTTTTATTAACTTCAAAAATATGATAGGCCGAACTTTTGCTGAGGAGGCGTGTGGGGCCTCCTGCTCTGTGCCAGGCGCGGGGCCGCAGCAAGAAAGCAGAGCAGAGAGGGCGGTGGGCCGACGGCAGGGCTGGGGGAGGGTCCACACTGGGGCTGTGTCTCCATGAGCCTCACGGCAGGGCATGAGCAAGGGCCCAGGGGTCAGGGCATAGGTGGAGGGTCGTGCGGACACAGGGTGAGTGGGTCCAAGGGCAGGGCTAGGCGGGGGCCGTGCTGGGACAAGCCGGGCCGCAGACGCAGAGGGGTCGGCCATGGGGTGCAGGCCGCAGGGAAGCGTCGGGGGCATGGGAGGGCACGGTAGGCAGAAGCAGCGCTCAGGGGGCAGGACAGGCTGTTCCCATGGTCCCTTCTCAGCGACAGGGCATCGCGGGCTGTGCATACCCAAAACATGCAAGCTGAGATTCACTCTGTTTCCTCAAACTTGTCCCAGATTCTTTGGAGTCTGGAATCACAGGGAATATTCCAGGGAAACACTCCATGGCAGTCCCTGCTTGTCCTTGGGCACGGTGGAAGCTAGAGGATGCTGGGGCGGTGAGGGGCCGGCGGACGGCGGGGAGGGGCGTTGGCGGGTGCAGAGGGTGAAGAGCCGGGGCATGGGCTGATGTCAGCAGCTGCATTCCCCAGTTCTCAGAAAGGGAGGGTGTACTGCCTCAGTTTACCATTCTGAGGTCTCACCTAAAACTTCACTCTTCTGCTCCAGACAGTGACAAGCAGAGCAGACAGAATGGACAGCTAGTCATGACCCACATCGGCTACACCACAGCCAGCTCCTGCCATTTCCTCCCATCGGAAAACAACACTGCGTTTATAGGTAGACACCAAAGCAAACCCCGGACCTGCTGCAGGACAAGGAGAGCCTCCCGAGGCCTCCTGAGAAATGCCGCCTCCTGGCTCCTGGAGCCCCGCAGTCAGGCGGCCAGGGGGCGGGGGAGGTGGCCGGAGCAGAGCTGTCCTCAGGCCCGCCCTGCACGCCAGCCGGGGGGGGGGGGGATCACGGCCACAAGCCCCATTCATCCCTGTCGCTGGCGGGTGCGTCAAACAGGACTCGTACTATTTCGGTATCAAAAACTATTTGAAATGCCATGAATTCTCAACAGAAGCTGCTAGTGCTTCTGACCCAAAGCGCCCTGAGGAAAACAATACAACCCTCTCTACTTAAAGAATGCAGCATCAAAACAAAAAAGCCTGTATTCGCATGAATATTTTATGTGGACTAGAAAATTGCTTTTATAGGTTGTGCCTTGAGAAACATATTAATACAATCAGACTCCTGACGTCAGTAAAAGCACAAAGACGATATTCAGCGTTTCAATACCAAACGGCAAGCCTGTGCTGTGAATTACAAGTTCTCAATCAGAAACAGAAAAAAATCTGTTAGTCTGTTTTTAAATAAATGACCATAAAAAAGGACACTGTAATTTTCCATTACGTGCTTTAGATCCTCTTTCCTTAAGCGCCACTTCATGCCACCATATACATACAAAATAAAGACACGCACCATTCTCTAGGAAACGCGGCCAAAGTTTAGGGTCTATTCAAGTAAAGAATGATTCATTCACATCCAGGGGAAAAGAATAGCTATTTCAACTATGTAACTGTGATCTCCTCTTACTCCGACATTCTGTCCACATGTGACGGGGGAGGGGGATGGAGACGGCGGGGGGGGAGGGGGAGGGGGCGTTTTAGGGACGTGTAATTTATTTCAAGTGTTTTCAGTGTTTTACTGTGGCCCACATCACACACGCTGAAGAACACGGATGCCAGGGGAGAGCGACAGTGATGAGCTGAAGACAGCCATGTCCACTACCTCAGGAAGAATCAATCGCCCCCAAATCGCGCGCCTGCCCCCCACCCCCAACAGCATTCTGGCTTTGCCAAGCAGCCCCCTGCTTTTCTTTATGGTTACGCCATCCACATGTGCATCCCAAACACCTCTTCCTTTGCTGACGGCGGTGAGCACTCGAGAGTGATACAGGCTCCCAGGAAGAGATAAAAGCCTTGAGTCCAGTCTGCCTTCAGCACGTAGG